CCCCCCCCCCCCCCCCCCTGATGCACGCGTAAGCCGAGTGACGACAAAGAAACCGTCTTGCGACGCAATGCACTGCTCATTATCCCGTTTTCCTATCGCCGCTGCTATTAGTACGCCGTTAACGTCGACTATCATTTGTTTATTGCCCGCGTCGAGACACGTCTTCCGCTCGAAAGAAACAGAAAATCGCGACGAATGGCTTTTACGGCAGTTTCGAAATGTCTTTTCTTTCATTTCTGCTCTCGAGAAATTGCAATTTGATCGTTAATTCCAGCGTAATCTCGAGATTTGTTTTCAAAATCCTGGCTGTCTTCAACAAGCTCGCAAGCTTAGAATATATTTTTCCTCGATCATGAAATTCGCAATGCACGAAGCGTTTTCCACCCTCAGTTTAATTCATTAAATATTGGATGCGAAAGATTTATCATTTTAATATTAAATTCTCGTAGTTTGAGTATTAAAAGGAATGTAGAAGCAAAAGTCAAAGGGAAAGGGTTGTTAAGCACGAATTGATTAATACATTATGTGGTGAATAAAAATCATATAAAAATTTACTATTATGTTAAATAATGAAGAAACACGAATTGATTAATACCGTTGTGTAATGAATAAAATCCGATAAAAATGTACTATTATATTAAATAATGAAGAGAATGCTATACGCCCTGGTGCTATTTACTTCTTAAATTCCGCCCCATTTCGACGTCACGGGTTAATCCTCGGCGAGGACAGGCATAGATTTAGTTGAACCCTCGGTATAACACGGCCCGTGTAATCCCAAAGAAAGTTCACGCACGACACATCGCGTTTCCCCCATCAACTACCGAGAGCGAATCCGTGAATCGGCGCGTGCCCCGATGCCGTGCCTCGCGGCTGTAACCGTCGGAAGTCCGAGTTCGCCGGCGCGGTTCGTTAGCGCTGTGCGAGCGGACACGCTCGTAACATTCCACGAGTTAGACCGCAGCCGGGAGAGACATTAGCGAATATACGTTTTTTTTTCCTTTTTTTTCTCTCAACGCGCATCCACCAGCAGCAGCTTCTAACAGCGTCGTAATTTGTCCACTCCGCCTCCGGTTTAAATGAGAGGCGCTGCGCGAGGGGATGCGCACGCTCCGTTACATACGACCGCGTTCTATCCCCCGCTGTCGGTCTGAACCCGGGCTCTTCACTGAATCACCGTACCCGGCGATGCGACAGGCGGAATTTCAAATTACAGTCGATACCAACGGAGTTCATTACAAGCCGCCCTGCGTCCCTTCGCCGACTACCTCGCGGTAGTGCCTCAGTGTATCCCAGCGAAACTTCGAAGCTCACGCCATTTCCAATTCGAGCGATTGAAGCATCGAGTGTGTCTAATCGATAAGAGCGATAACGACTACCAACTACTCCCGATCGAGCTGATTGGAGAGGTTTATCGGAAAATCCCGATGCCTCGATTATATCGATTATCCCGCCGATCTTATCTAGACCGGGTGCTGAATCATCAGCGCCGGCGATAACGGGACTTAGTAGAGCGCTGAATGAAGAAAGCTGGCTTGTTTGTTGGAAAAGGTTCTCGACGACGCGGGAGATCGCACGCGAGGTCCTGCTGCGGGACGGAGGACTTGCAGAGCCTGCAGACGTTGCATCTGATCGGGGGACGCGGTCGACACCGTAGTCCCAATCCGTCTGGCGGCTGCCAGGGCCAGGAACAGCCACCAGCGGTGGACTACAGGCGACTGGTGTTCATCAGCTCGGATTCGTCGTCCGGCCGCGAGGAGGACGACGCGGACAGCAGCTGCTCGAGCTCGTCCTACCTGAACGGGCTGCCCCGCAACGGCGGCCACGCACAGTCGCTCGAGGACTGCGACTGGGACTACTACGACAGCGGCAGCCTGCCGCTGCCAGCGATCGCCATCGGCGCCGGTAACCACGTCGGCGCGGACCACGGCGTCGCTCAAGACTGGAGCTGCTGTCCGGGACGCGGCTCGGCCGCCTGTCAGGTATATCACCGCGATTTCATTGTCGAATTATCAGGTGCGTCGCAAACCGAGCGGATAAGTACGGAGTTCCCGAAACTTCAAGTTGTTTCACCGATTCCCCGAGATTTCGAAATGCCGAGATAACATTCAATAACTTATCTTTTCTCGAGGAGGAGATAGTATTGTGGGCCCTTTAATGTCTCCGTTAATTAGGTGACGAATTTTAACGATTATTTGTAGAATCATTTATACTGCAACGCTAATATGTCAATACACAATAACACGAGATTTTTGCTAATTTGCCCCCCCCCCCCACACACACACTAAAATACATTTAATACGGCCTCTTTTGCGAGATTTTCATGTCGGGGTAGTTATTCGATAATTTAGATTCAGTTTAAAAGTCTATTCGTTTCGTCGAAATTGTCCTTTTGACAGTTTATATCTACCTTCTGGCAAATAAGTCAATATCTACGTGAAAAATCCCGTAAGAGAGTTTATTTTGAATAAATATGTAAATTTGTAACAAAACTGTGTGATTTTTAAACGAAACCAAATTTTAATCTATTTTAGTGAATGGCCGCATTGTCACTCCTTGAGTCCCTGCTCCTTTTCGATTCCTTAAGTAGTGTCATCACATTTTGATAAATAACATCCTGAGTAACAAATATTTCATAATTTTGAGTCTAGAATCGATTGAACGATATTTTGACGAGTGTAATCGTTAAGTATTCAGTTTAAAATAGTGATTATTAAGAAAATTATTGTATAAAATATAAATGAGACGCCACAATACCATCTTTTCCTCTACTTATTTTATCGAGATGGAAATTAAAAAATTTTGAATTTCTATGATTTTGAGGTTCTGATACCCTCGATCCTGAGATCCGCGACCTTAAGATTCTGCAATTTCGAAATTGCGAAATTTCGAGATTTCAGGATCTTTAGAAAATTGTTCATAAAATTGTTCATACAACGTACATTACCGGGAACGTATAAAATTGCCGTTGAACACGACTCGTGTGACCGCGACTCGGGTGCCGCTCGCTGCATCCGTTTGACAAACACATTACCAGCGAAATTAATCATTCACGTTCTACTAGCAAAGAGAGTCGCGTGGCAATGCGGAATTCACGGCCACACTTTGTCAATAAGCTGTACACGGATACTCGTATCGAGCGACGCCTCATGCTGATTACGATGATCGATAAACGACTATGTAGCGCGAATGGTTATTGTCGGTTCTCGAACTGTTAGTCCATTTTCGTTGACAGTTTCTATAAGTAGGGCAGCTTTTATGAGAAAAAAGACTTTAAATTATAATGTGTTTCCAGGAGAGATTGTACATATTTTAATACTTTAATAGCGCCAAATGAGCCCATGAATTTTCATGCGTGGTTTTAATAAAAATTCCAAGACGAAGCAAACGAAGTATTAATTTTGTTATTTATTTTGTTGGACTTGAGTTTTTTTTCTATAGTTATTTCGAAAAATTTGAAAATGCCTTTAGCCACGGTCGAGCTCTTCACAACAGCAAAATAATAGCAAAGAAATAACGCTATAAAATGAGGAAGAAAGAAATTCACAGAGAAAACATTTTACCGAGCACAGTAATATATACGCAAGAATAACGATCAAAAATTCGTAAATGAAACTATAAGAAACCGGTAAGAAATTGTGTATTGAGTCAGCTTCGACTAAACTTGACTTCAATTAAAAAAAGTTCAAGTAAAAAAAGTACCTTGTTGCGACGATAAATAAGATGAAAACAGATGAAATAAATGAAGAACGCGTGCGAGAATATGATAAGAAATTCGAAAACTTCGAATGTGAAATCGAAGAGACAGTATCGCAGTCGCGAGCCATCATCTTGTCGTTGTATCCAGGCTTGTGGCGGTTCCCGTAGCGCGAACGTACTCCCGGTGCCGGTGCCCATACCGGTCCCGGTTCCGTACCCGGTGCCGGTACCGGCGGCTCTGTGGACCGGCGACTTCGCGGCGGCCGCGTCATCCATGATAAGCCGCGACGGCCATGCCGAGCCGGGAACTCTGAGGCTGCGAGGCGATCCTGCGGCGCCCTGGTTCGCCTGGCATCCTCGCTTCAACCAGCCCCTTCATGGCGCCCGTCTGGATCCCCGGCTGACCGGCGTCTTTGATCCGACCACCTGCACCTTCCGACCGGATCAGGTGATGACCCCGAGACTGTACGGGCCGATAACGGAGACCACGGCGCCCTCGGCGAATTACGAGTCGTCGCCTCAGCAGCAACGTTCGACGTCCAGCAACGGGCAAGACGCGAGGGACGACGCGAAGGTCGCGTCGAAAGCGGAAGAGCCGTTGAAGACCGAGGAGAACTTGTCGGCGAAGGAGACCAGCGAGCCCATTGGTTCCCCTGTCGCGAAGAATAAAGCGAGACCGAACGAGACAGAGAACATCGAAGCGGAGTGCGAGGAAGGCGATGAAGACGCGGAGGAGGTAGAAGCGAGCGAGGTGGAGGCCGCCTGCGAGGATTCGCTGTCTTCGTCCTTCGACAGGAGCGCGGAGAGGATGTACCAGCACTCGCGAGAGGACTCCGGCAGCTCGTCCGGCCGCTCATCGGCGGACAGCAGCGACCTGGAGGACGACTCCAGCTCGCATCGCTTCTCCAGGGTGTTCGTGGTGAACGATGACTCGCTCACCAGCGACAACGACATCGAGGACAATGAGGAGGACGACGACTCGGACTCGGCGGCGGAGGGCGGTGTTACCCTGAAGCGCGTCATCGCGATCCCCGAGGAGGAGCCGGTGGTGCTGCAGCACGTGAGGCTGCTGAACGAGGAGGACGCTCTCGTGGAGAACGAGCGCAAGGAGAACAGCAGGGACGAACTGGGAGCGGCTCGTTCCAGGATCCACGAGCCCGAAGGCGACGCCAGGTTGTCGTTGGGCGAGCACGTCGGCAACTCGAGCGACAGACGGAAAAGTCGCGGCAACGGCGACAAGAGGCTCCCTCTTCTGCTGCAGCACCGGTCCATCCCCGAGGAGATGTACCTGGCGGACGACAACGACTGTTCCGGCAATCGAATCGAGCTGAGGTCCATCAGGACGCTCGACCCGGACAGCATCGATCCACCGGTGGCGTCGTTCGCGAGGGATCTCGAGACTCTCGTCCCGAAGACGGCGGACACGCTGAGGCGCAACGATCGCTCCAGGACACCGGAGGTGGTTTCGCAGGACGATCAGCTCGAGCCGAAGTCGCCCTCGAGCGACGCTTGGGACCCCACCATCGTCCCGGATTCCCTCGAGATCTCCGACGAGCTGCTCCCCAAGGACGCTACCGACTGTGAAAACAGAGGCCGCGTCACCTCGCTCTTCGATAACGAGCAGTGGTGCGCGCGATCGCGTGTCAGAAACTACGACGATCGCCGGGGAGATAAGTTGCTTTTATCGGCGGCGGATCATCGCGACGTCGCTGTCGGCGACGCGTCCGTCGACAGTTCCATCGGCAACGAAAGCAACACCACGGGCAGCGAGGTGAGCAGCGACGAGCTGCACGAGTACGAGCTGACCACGGTGTCGTCCTCGTTCGACTTGGGCAACGAGGTCGCCGCGGTCAACGGCGAGCTGCTGCACCGGCTCGCCAGGGAGAAGACGGAGGGAGAGGTTGTCCGGGCGAATGGCTACCATCTCCACGGATCTGATCAGGATGACAAAGGGAGCTCGGCAGTCACGCGAACGATGACGAAGAGCGGTGCCAAGCGGAACGCGGGAACGATCGCCGGGTGGTCTCCGGATCAGAATTCGATCGACGCCGCGGTTGTCACGACGACGACGGTGGAGTCGATGATCGGCGGGAAGGACAACGATGACGAAGACGGCGATCAGCCGGTCACGCGTCGTCGCGCCGGAAGAACAGAGCGGCAAGATGGCGCGGAAGACAACGACCCTACGACGACGACGACGGGAGAGCTGGTAGTAGGAATCGCCGACGTGGGCGACGCGCTACCCAGCAAGACTCAGGAGACGTCGAGGAGGAGTGCGGAGGGTGTCGGCAAGGTGGACAGTGCGCATGACGACGGCCCGGTGAGAGGCGAGATCGCGACCGTCGGTGCCGGTGGTCAGGTGGGAGGAAGTGGCAGTGACGGTAACGGTGGTGGTGGTGGTGGTAGTGGTGAGAGCCTCGCGGAGGGGGGAGCGACACGGTTTCGCTCAGTCGAGCGACGCCCGTGCACTCGTAAGGAGAATGGATTCCCAGCTGACGCGTCGGCCAAGGATCCTGCCAGAGACGCCCAGCACTTTCCCTCGGTGGCGTGCAACAACAACAATAACAACAGCAACAAGTACAGGAGCCTCGTGATGATCACCCAGGAGGCCTCGTACCAGCCGGTGAGCGTCGTCACCTCGGACACCACCACGCTGCTGCAGCCGGATGAGATCCACTCGGCCGGACAGGGTCTGGCTGGTTATTTCCAGCTGGCGCTGGAAGCTGCGGGCGAGCAGCCGCCGCGCAAGAACGGCCAGGGTCCTCGCAGGCCGTTGATGGTGAAGAGGCTACCGGCCGCGACGGCCGTCGTTACGGCGAGCCATCAGTCTGAACCCGAGGCGGACAGTGGTCTGAGTGTGGGCAGTGCCAGTGAAAGCGACGACGTGTCCGTGAAGAACAACGTGAACAACACGTCGAGGTACGGTAATTGCCGGGCGGAGAGCGCGGAAGACGGAGGTGCGAGGGAACGCGCAGCGTCCGCGGAGAATCGCGATGGCGCGCGTCCACGTGCCTCGTCGCAGTCCAGCGACGACAATTCGGCGGCCAGTGGCGGCGGCGTCATCATACTCGAGGAGGGTCTCGCCGACGACGATTCCTGGGTGGAGGAGGTGTCGCACGACGAGGACGAGCCTGGCGCCACCACCGCCACGGAGGAGAGCTCGGAAGATGAAGCCAACAACTTCGGTGACCGGGAGGAAGAGCTGCGCGGCTATCGCAGACAGGCGATCGACTTCACTCTGCACACCATCGTCGAGGAGTCCTGCGAAGAGAGCGAGACGGAGCCCGGCAGTTTGGCCGCGGGCAGTCCTTCGAAGAAGCCGCGACCGCCCTCCGCTTCCGAGCTGGAGAAGTATTTCTTCTTCGGCCTGGGCGGCGACGGCAACAATTCCAGCATGGGTTCGCGCGAGGTCGACAGCTTGTCGGAGACGTCCTCGATATACTCGGAGGGACTGGAGTCGCTGGGACAGGACGAGGCGAACGGCGGCGGCCAAAGCCAAGACAGAAGCAACTCCGGCGACAGCTTCCTGAACTCTTCTAGGCTGGAGAAGTATTACCTCTCGGAGTTCCTCGGCTTCGACCAAGACAGGAGAGACTCGGACGGCTCGGTGGGCAGCGACTCGGAGGGTAGACCCAGTCCGGAGGCGCAGAGGAGGAAGAAATTGGTCCGAGCGCGAGGTACCGGCAGGTCTCACAGCTCCTCGCTGGACAACCTGTTGGCTCTCACGCAGAGCTCGCAGAATCTAAGCTCGCAGAACTCGCTGCAGGACCTGAGCCTGAACCAGGACGCGCAGGAGACTCAGTCCGAGGGCTCGTCCACGGAGACCGACGGCACCGAGGACGGCCAGACCGCCGCATTCGGCACGGACGGCCAGTTCGACACGGTGAAACGCAAGAAGAAGAAACCACGGAACCTGGGCACTCAGAGCCCTCGCGTTCCCGACGATCGCAACAAGACGCCGGAGCCGAACCGGGAAATGGCGCTTATGAGCGAGGTGGTGGTGGAGAACGACAACGAGGCGATGAACTCGGAGGACTCGGACAGAGCGAAGACCCCGCAACCGGAGTCGGTCTTGTCCTCGTCCTCGTCGCCGTCCACCCTGACCAACACGTCGAACGTCTCGTCGTCCCAGATGGACTCCTCGAGGAACGTCCAGGTGACCTCGGGAGACTCGGTGAGCTACGGGCAACGTTCGAAGCAACAGTCGAGGGACTCCGGCTTCGTCGGCAGCTGCGACGATCTCCTGCAGCATCAGAAACTCCCGGATGAGGGCAATCAGCCGAGCAGTCCCGAGGTCGACCACGAGGCGAGCGGCGCGGAGCGCTCGCTGAGCAAGACCAGCGATCACCTTCCCGGTCCGAACGTCGCCGAGGGCGTCGCCGTAGCGGACAGGAGCAACCTCGCGAAGCACCCGGTGAATCACGCCGCGAGCCTGCCGCACCTGGCGAACGCCTCGCTCTCGCGCAAGGACAGCTTCAACAACTGGTCCAGCGACGAGGAGACGAATCTCATGATGTCGAAGATGCGGCAGTTCTTCAAGACGATGGTGGCCAACTCGAACGGGCAGAACGCGACGAACTCGAGCGGCGCCTCGCCGGCGCCGAGTCCCCGGCTGACCGGTTACGCGTCGAAGGCGCGGCTGTGCGCGCAGAACCGCACGAAGCCGCCGCAGCTGGTGTACTTCGAGAACGAGCTAACGCGGCTGATGAAGACGGTGCCGGGTATACGCGACGAGCAGGTGCGCGAGATCGTCGAGTACCTCAGCTCGGAGGACACGTGGTCGGACTCGTACGACAGCTCGGACTACACCAGCTCGGATTTGGAGGGCGCCGCAGCCGGCGGTCGCCGTTCGGCTCTGCAGGAGCAGATCTCGCAGAGCTGCCAGCAGATCATCAGCAAATTCGACACCACTTCCGCCGACGGCGGTGGTGGCGCTCTTTCGGACAAGGACAGGGACCACGTGAAAGGCCTGCCGGGCGATTCGCCGCAGCCCGCCTGCCTCGGCAGGGACACCGCCTTCGTCTACCAGAAGCTGGTGCAGAGCTTCACCAAGATGGCGGGCGACGGTGTGAGCTCGGACGCCAACTCCACGCCGCACAGCAGCCCGCCGTTGATCGCCAAGGTGATGCACCACATCGGCAGCCGGCTGGTAGCGCTGATGCACGAGGTCTCCGAGGGCGGGCCGGCGGCGCAGCATCACTCCAGCGGCACCTCCTGGCGACGGTACTCCCAACACCACCGCACCCCGTCCTCGGCGTCGACCACCGAGGACGACGACTCCACGTCGGACTCCACCAACGCGCCCTCGTCGGCCCACCTGCAGCTGCCCAGGTCCAAGTCGCACGACCCGCTGCTGCTGATCAACAGCCACCCGGCGGCCTCGACCGGTCAAGAGGGCGAGGAACGCGAGGCGAGCGACTACGAGAGGTTCTCCTGGCGCGGCAGCTTCGAGTCCGCCCTGATGGCGGCCGACTCCAGGACGAAGCTGAGCCTGTTGGCGTGCTCCGGTGACGTCAGTGGCAGTGCTAGTGCCAGTGCCAGTGCCTTGGCGATGGCGGCGAAGCGTCGCAGCGCCGGCGACCTGCTCTTCAACCCCAAGAGCTTCTCCAGGGAGCAGCTGGACAGAGTGAGGAGCTGCGGCTCGATCGGCGGCGGCGGTGGCGGCGGAGTAAGCGGTGGCGCAACCGTCGCCGGCGGCGGCGGCTGCAGCGGCGGCTCCATCGAGGAGAGGATCTGGAGTAACCGCAGGAGATCCTCCGTTCCGGACGCCAACACCAGGGGGGAGTCAGGTGAGGCGACTCGAGCGTGACCGTCCGCGTGGCGTCCCTCCGCGCGGAGCAGTCGTATTACATCGCGGAAACGGCGCGCAGTAATTGGCGTTACTTCTCGATCCCCTTCTCTTCACGGAGCTCTTGAATGCGTATTTCTTCGTCTTCTTCTTTCCCTCGTTTTTTCTCCTCTCTCTCTCTCTCTCTCTCTCTATCTCTCTTTTCGCAATTATTACCGCGGCGCGAGCGGACGCGCGCCACGGTCGGATCGGTTCCGATAATGGCGGAGTTGGATTTGATGTTGAATGAACAAGCGAGCGAGCGCAAGCACGCACGCACGTACTCGCCGCGGCTCTTTGATTTAATTGTACTTATTGGTAAATTAAGACGTAGACTGGAGAATTAGGAAGCGTGAAAGCCGCGCCCTCGCGCTGGTACATTCTTCTGCGCGCGGCGGCACGCGATCCCGATTCTGTGTTTTACTTAGCCGCGTGTCGAATAAGTAAACATGAGTCGGCCGATTGTAATCGGCAAAATTACGCGAGGAGGCGCGGCGTCGCGCGAACGGCGCACGGCGGGGTTCTTTCGTGTATCGTCGACCGACTGACTGTCAATTAAGAGATATTTCTATCGTGTGTGTATGTGTGTCGAAAATACTTGGCTGGAGAAAAACGGGCGCGTCTCAAAAATGATCACGAGTCGAACGGGCGCCGCGGTTTCTAACACGCGTGTGTGCGAGAGGAGAAAAGAGAATTGCTAAACGCTTATTTATAGCTTCCTTTCTACGGAATCGTTTTCTTCTTTGCCTCTCCCTCGGATCCCGTCGCCGAGCACGAACGGATAACAACTTATGAATACATAATACTCATGAATAAACGATGCGCACGTTGACGACGTACGCGCATCAACGAATGATCATCTTCCCGGTCCCAGTATTGTGCGCAAGAAGAAATAAATCGATACGGCAGATAAGGCGCATCTCTCTCTCTCTCTCTCTCTCTCTCTCTCTCTCGGTGCGCGATTTCTAAGCCGGCAAATATTTCATCCTGCGAAAACGATATCAGCGCGAGATCGCGCGTCACGATCGCGCTCGTCATCATCTAAAGCGCGATACGATATCGCGACTCATCTCTCGCTACAATCGTCGGGGAATCAACGCGTTGAATATGCCGTCATCGCCGCTGTGATACTACTATATACCGCGTCTCATTAGCTTCCATATGAGGTATAATTAATTACATTCGAAAAAAATTGCTTTTACGGCCCATAGAGAGAAGATGAAACGAGGGGTGAGGGGTGAAAGCTGTAATGTACGCGGGCGCCTCTCCACGCGGAGAAAAAGAGTGGTATAGATTCAAGATTCTCATATGTAAGTAGGAACATATAATTTCATATGAAGATAAAACTTGTTTACATATAAAGAAATTGCATATAGTTTCACAAAAAAAGTATCATATTCTTGTTACTCAAGAATAATTCGTCTAACGAACTGAGAGCGAAATATATTGGATAAGAAGAACGATATCTTCGAATCAAAAGTTACATCAGTTTGATGGTATCGTTCTTTCCGTCCGATATTTTCTCCTCTCGTAAAAATTACTCTCGAACGAGAATACGATATTTTTCGTTGAGCTACGTAGAATTTCTTCGTGTAAGCAAGTTTTATCCTCGTATAAAATTACATATTCATGCTTAATACGTGAGAATGCGTGTCTTGATTTGATATTGACTCTTTCACGCACAATTGCATATTTATTTGTCACATTTGCATTCACATTAAATTGATTAATCTATGGTAATCCTATGTCGCTAAATCAGTTAAGCTTACGCGCGCTCAACGGACAATCGTGGTGACAGTAAACGTGCAAGTCCCCCCGTTGAAACGGTAGACGGATTGGCGCGATCGATCGATTGATACTCGCGGAGCGTCCTAAGACTAATCGTCGATCGCGTCGCTACAGGTGCATCCGCCGGCGACGAGGACACCGAGGACGAGCTGGAGTACGGAGGCGGCGAGTCACGCGCGACGACTCTTCCACGTGGCATGCAGTCCGCGATCTCTGCGGCGACCAACTCGCTGCCGCGTCTGCCGGCGTCGAGCGTGCCGGCCGGTCTGACCGCGACGTCGGCGTCGGCGTCGTCCGCGTCGTCGTCGTCCTCGCCGATGCACAAGGCCCACAGCGTCTACCACTTCCTGCCGCAGCACAGCGGCGTCAAGTCCGCCCGTTATCGGCCGCCCGGCTTCGCCAGGAACAGCAACGTGCCCGGCGCGATCGGCGGGCCAAAACGCGCCGTCAGCGCGCCGGGCCTCCAAGTCTCCGGCTCGCAATCGGCCGCCGGCAAACGAGACAACTCCAGGTCGCGGAGACAGCAAACGATGTCGCTCACCTCCGGTAAGTCACGGTTTCTCCTCGCGAGCGATCCGCGCGGCAGATTGCGCCGAAGGACGGCGTTCTCCTCCCGAGGTCCTCGGCCGGAGAACCGCCGGGACGTCGACGAACTTCGAGCGCCTCTCCGAGCGCGAGGTTGTCGGTTAGATTTTATTATCGGAGGGGAGGCAACAAAACCGACACACCGTTTTGTTTTTGGGCTCTGAAACCCTGTTGAAGGTGTGGAAATTTAAACTGATGCGAAGCAACGCTTCTCTAAATTTCCTAAAGTATGCGATAGGGAATATTTGTGGAAATTGTTACATATTTCCTTGCAAATAATTGTTTTTTAACATGGGTGAGAATTGACGGTTCCAGAAATTGGATTCCAAAATCGACATATCCATGATGACTTTAACACAAAAAAAATCAAACGACGCTACAATAATACAACTGAATATGTTGCAAGTAGGAAGTGCCACTTCAGCTGAAACTACTATTTTATCGACAGAGTTCGATACTTTACAGCCGAGAAACATGGGTATGTCCATGGGTTTTACCATACTTACGTCAGTTTTGGTACTTTCCTCGATTATTCTCGTTAGATTCCTCTTTTTAAAGAATCGGAAATTAGAAAGTTGATATCATCATTTCCTCATGGAAGGTCTCGGTTATCTGATTGGTTTTGCTCTCATCTGTGGAAACTATAATATCAGATGAAGATTACGAATTGTGAGAAATAGGTGAAGGAAATGGGAAAGGGAAGCGATGCCTTAACCAGCGCTAACGAGAACCCTCGCGTCTAAAACTGGGACTTCTTACTCTCGCCGGATAATTGTTGAGGAATTTTCCGAACTGAAATTCCCGCGATGGGAGTGAAAAACCGTTACAATTTTATCGGAAAATCTACAAGCGTGACGATGGGAGAAAGTGCGCGGCTTTTTGTCACTTCCTGTGCGGGCGACGCTCGAGACGCTCGCGATTATCATTGACATCCAACTTGGCTTGATTACGTCAAGCCGACCCATAAATTCATGCATATCTACGAGGAAGTATAAGACGGAATAAATAAAACACAGTTCGTTCTTTTCTTGTCATTGATGAATTCCTCTATCGCCGCAGTAATTTGTCGCCAATTTATCAGGTAATTCTTTCGATTCCCCGCAAAAGTTGTTTGTGACAAACATAGCTCTATGATAAACGCGAAGAATATGCAGAAATTTACGGTATAGATTTAACGGTTAGCCGCGAAGCATCCGGTTAACCTGATTTATTAACACAGCTTAGTTAAAGTCAATTAATTATGCTTCCTCAAGCAAATCTTGTATTTTATTTTACGCGGTAATACATCTCGCAGATGCCTCTCTTATCGTTGCGAAGTAAAGGAAGAGAAGGAAAGAAAATTCGATTCTTCGCGCTTAGAATCCGCGAAGGCGCGCTTTTGAACGGCGACGGGAGAAAGCGCGTGGATGAAAGGAAATTCGGTCGGCGGTACGTGTGATCCTACGTGATAAATTAGACGGCGGCGTGGTCATGCACACGTGGTGCGCGCCATGCAAATGATCGAGTATAAATATGAAATTACGAGCCTCGTGAAAAAGAACGCCGGCGAGAGAAACCGTTTTTGCGGGATTCTTCGCGGGTGACAGCGGAACGGTGCGCGCGCGGCGAAACTCGAAACGCGAATCCCTGCGGCGATCTTAATGCACGCAATTTGTGATCAGGCCAACGAATATTATTGGCACACTTGACCGCCTAAACGAATGACAATATATTCCTTTAAGAAGTAGGAAATATTAGAGCGTAAAATATGTAGACTTGAATGTGCACATTTGTTTTTATATAAATGTATAAAATTACATGGAATTGTTAATGAGAATCACAATTTAAAGATTTAAAAAGCAACTTTTGAGTTTAGATTTCTCGAAAATTTCGGTGTTTATCCACTTCGTTGTTAGGATTAATTGGGACATCGTGAAAATTGTTCCTGGAGAGAATCGACTCGTTATCGCCTCGAGAATCTGCCATTGAAAGATATGACCGTGAGACACAGGCTGTGCGCGTGGTGATTTCGAAGCGTGATTTTTCGCGTAAACTTGAGCAACGCGAGGCAGCCGCGGATTCCATTGTCCTCTTCTCCGGAGGTGTAAACGTTGCGAAAAGCGGGACAGCGTTGCGAAAATGCCCCCTCGCGCTCATCGCGTGAAATTCGTTGTAATAATAGGCTGGGATGTAACCACGACGTTTCGCATCTTTCCTTGCATTTTCCTCCCTTGATTAAGACGATTCAATCGTCAGTTACGTCACGGATCGCCGATTGCATCACGTAGCCGGTAAAGCGTTGCCATTTAATTCGTTTTCACACCCCTCGTTCACGTCGCGCTCCATTTTCTGAATATCCGAGGATCGAGTACGTTTTCTCACCCTATATATATATATATACATGTATATATATATATATAT